TCACCCATTTAAGCATCAAGGCTACAGAAAGTTGTCAGAATTAAGAAGTCCATACGGAGTCAAGTCTCCTCAACAATGGAAATCATTGGTTTCTTTACCGCATTCTTGCTTGTTTGTTTAAACATTGCTTGTATGTAGAAACTTGTCTATTTTCGAATGAAAATCTTAATGCAATAAGTATGCTTGTCTTGAAGTGTTCTTTTGGTTTTATTCATTCATTCGTTATCACTTTTTAAATGTTTTACTTGCATATTGGTGCCAAATTTCCTAGTCTTATGCTTAGGTAAAGATTGGAGGGAGGATGACGATAATTTAAAAACACAAAATCTCTGGTTGGTATGCTTTTGAGTAAGACCCTGCTGACGATGTACAAGCCTTGTTTCAATTCCTAAACACCGGAGATATAAGAGAGATAGACCCTCGTCAATCCCTCTGAGCCTTCGAAGTAGGAGTTTCTTTTATGTTCAGAAAAAACCCTCGTTTTAACCCTAGGGCGGGTAGTATTTAGTTAATCTGATCAAGCGTTCAGAACTCATCAAGAGTGTGCATCCAAGGATACAACAATGGTTATCCAGTAAAAGGTTAAGGAAATTCAAAACCACAGTGGTTAACCCTTATCTATCAGCAACGTGCATCAATTAATGATACCCCAATGGGCATCCCTCGAACGTCAAGAGGTCAACAAATGGCGATACAACGATGGCTATCCCTCATCTACTAAAGACTCAGACAGTCACGGTCACTTCCAACAAATCAAAGACAACGCAAAGATCAACGACTTATTCAAAATGGAAAATAAAATGAGAAAGAAACAAAAATCCCCGCTAAGTCGAAACTTGAAAACAAGTCGCTTAAGCAAAAGTTGGGGCATCCCGTTGGAATTCCAAATCGAAATTCAAAAGAATATGTCCAGGAAAAAGCAATAAGGGAATTGAAAAACCTAAAATGAAAGAAAAGGATTACCAATAAAATCCTCATCAAAGAACAAAGTCGTGTGATCAGACACCAAAATCAGAAGTTAGTGACTGTTGTGTCTGAGAGGCCTCAGTGGTTCCTCAACCATCGCAAACTCTTCTAGAGAAATAAGTGCTTGTATCGGGTCGAATGAATGTAGGAATGGAGAACATCATGGAGAATGGGTGGGCACCAAATAATTTTGAGCCTTAAATCCTTTTTTCTAAAACCGTGAACCAGGCCACGTTACAACCCATAAAAGTCCTAATTGAAGCATGGGTTGATTCGAAAGCGTGCTACAACGAGATATCATTTAACTAACTCCTAAGAGGTACGTTTGAATATCTGTGTTGGCATCATATGCTTGTGTTATCTTTCAGAAAAAAGAATTTGCAAATGTTTCTCTCTAGCTAGTGACTCGTTCACAACAGAGTTGTGACATCATTTCATTCAAATTTTTTTCAAACTTCAAGGCTTACATATGTGTTGCATTAGAATTATCATTCTCATAATAAACATTCTTCTAAATACCAAACAACTGATTGACATCAAGTAAGTTTACACAATGAATAATCGGTAAAGAGCTCAATCTTGTCAGAGAAGAGAGGTTTGAATACCCTATTGAAGCAAGAGTCAGCTGCCACAAGAGAAATGACTTATCCAGGGGCATGTTAACCAGTGATTTTGTTAAGCGAAAGAATATCTTGACACTTTACAATTTAAGTACCCTTCAAGGAGGAAGTTAGTAGATTCCGCCAATCTGGGGCAATCAAGTCGAGAATCAATCTCTCCGAGTTCATCCCAATCCGGGGCATTCCCTCAAAGCTATCAATCAGAGCCTATCACGTCGATTAATATCTTCAAGCTCGACCAATCAGAGCCTATCACGTCGATAAATCTCTTCAAGCTCGGTCAATCAGAGGCTATCACACCGAGAGATCTATTTAGAATTCATTCAACCTGGGGCAGTTATGTCGAGATTCGACAAATCTCTCCAAGAAAGCTGTAATCAAGAGCAGTTTATTTTGTGGCTCAAGACATTGGGGCAGGCCACCTCATACCGTATTATGGCATGGATATTCTGGTCTTCTATTCAGCACAGATTCTCATAGATCCTCCAGACAGGGGCATTCCTCATCCATACTTGCAAATTTTCTCAAGCTAATCATGTTGTACGAGACGAATCAAGCTAGAAGCATCATAACGGTCACCTTAACCTAGCCAGCGCACGAAGCTGCCTTCATCTGCTACAAACAATTTCAAACCTGATTCCCCAAGTGAATTCAGAAAGTTCAGAGTCGTCATTTGACTCGGCACATGCAAGTGCATCCCCAGTGGAGTTAATCAAGAATGTCCCCAGTGAAGCTAAACTGGGGCATTCGCAAAGCTAAACTGGGGCATCTGCAGAGCTAAACTGAGGCACTCGCAGGTGTCCATGCCCATCTTTTATCCCCAAGTGATTCAAGAGATAATTCCCTAGTGTGCATAAACTTGGGACATGTATTCGGAGAGATTCACATGGTGTTCAGTATCCATTCTTCAGCATATTCAGCTCTACCATCCTCTCAACGATTCAGGATGTGTGAAAGTCTATACAAATTACCTCTTCCCCGACGGTACGATTCAGAATCCAGCAGCGTACCTGAAGACTCGCTTCGTCAATAATTCAATCTTCAGTGAAGTCATCAACAATCTTCGGTATTAGGGGCTCCTCAGTGCAAATTCTTATTAGTATCCCCAACAACCTTTGGTACGGTAGGCTTCCAGCGCCGATATGTATTGACATCCCCAGTAATGAGAAGCGGTTCCGAATGGGCCTTCTCTTATCCCCATGAAGTTTATTTCTTCGCATTGCATATAGTTATCACTGCATAACATTGCATCCTCAAAAGCGCGTAGCCGATCCATCAGAGTGAATCTTTGTGGCAAAAGAAATTCAAACATGCATACGAAGCATAAGCCAAATTAGGTACCTTACACGAAAGACCTGAATCATTCAAGGACAACAATACGTCCCTACAAAAGGATATCATTCCCAAAATCCCCAGTCGACGACCTTCACCTTTTCAAGTGCCCAGCAAAATCAATACACCAAGTCCAAACCCAACACTTGTCTATGTCAGTTCCCTAAACACTCGTCGTGTAAATTTCTAAACACTCATCCGTGTAAATTCCTAAACACTCATCTGTGTCAATTCCTAAACACTCGTCTGTGTTTAACCTTTTGATACTCGCCTGTATCTTGTTTCAATACACGTCCGTATTGATGCAAACACTCGTCCGTGTTTAACGTTTTGATACTCATCTGTATCTTCTTTCAATACTCGTCTGTATTGATTCAAACACTTATCTGTGTTTAACCTTTTGATACTCGCCTGTATCTTCTTTCAATACTCGTCCGTATTGATTCAAACACTCGTCCGTGTTTAACCTTTTGATACTCGTCTATATCTTCTTTCAATACTCGTCCGTATTGACTCAAACACTCATCCGTGTTTAAACCTTTTGATACTCGCATGTATCTTCTTTAAATACTCGTCCGTATTGATTCAAACACTCGTCCGTGTTTAACCTTTTAATACTCGCCTGTATCTTCTTTCAATACTTATCCGTATTAATTCAAACACTCGTCTGTGTTTAAGCTTTTAATACTCGTCCGTATCTTCTTTCAATACTCGTCCATATTGATTCAAACACTCGTTCATGTTTAACCTTTTGGTACTTGCCTGTATCTTCTTTCAATACTTGTCCGTGTTGATTCAAACACTCATCCATGTTTAACCTTTTGATACTTGTCCGTATCTTCTTTCAATACTCGTCCGTATTGATTCAAACAGTTGTTCGTGTTTAAACCTTTCGGTACTCGCCTGTATCTTCTTTCAATACTCGTCCGTATTGATTCAAACACTCGTCCGTGTTTAACCTTTTGATACTCGTCCGTATCTTCTTCCAATACTCGTCTGTATTGATTCAAACACTCATCTGTGTTTAAACCTTTTGCTACTCGTCTGTATCTTCTTTCAATACTCGACCGTGTTTAACCTTTCTTGATACTCGTCCGTATCGATTCAAACACTCGCCCGTGTTATACATTCCTTTTATTGGCATCGCGCCACATTACAAGTCCAATCTCCGTCTCTTCACCGAAAAACAAAAAAGTTCTTTCCCCCAGCAGATATCATAAAAATAAATAAACACTCATGCTTTCTCCCAGAACAAATTTTTGGCATTGGTATTTAATCATCTTCAACCTTGAACTTCCGAAAGGCACGTGCCAATCATACTTTCAAGTTCAAGACGATTAAATAGGGGCAGCTGTAATACCCCAAATTTGTCCTACCCTTTTACTTTTATGTCTTACGCATCTCGCACTTTTCTCATGTACATAACTCCCATTAGGTCATTTAACAACGCCGTTCATTCATTAATCAATAATTTTGCACGGGATCAGAGATCTTGAAGAATTAGGGTTTTACAGTGGTTAAGGTGTTCATATCCAATAAAGGTCGAATCCTTTTGCAGAGGCATTAAGGTTGTGATCTGTGGTTATTGAGATTTCTTTCTACTTAAGCTACGAAGCTATTATTTCCATATCAACAGTAGGTCGCAGGGTTTTCCTCTTTAGAGCTATGAATCTAGGGTTTATATCCTATTTTACTCGAGTTTGTCAACATTTTTACTGAATGTTTGATGGATAGAAAAACATAATAAAAGGAGGGTGTTGTGGATTCATTATGATCAAGGCATTATTGACCTCTCAATTGCTTATTGCTTGTAGATCAATATAATATGGATTTGAGATCGAGGTTAGGAGTTTTGATAAGAAGGCAAGTTAATTTAGGTTTTTGTTTGTTAAGAATTAAAGTCAATTCGGATTCATTGGAACTTCTAACTGTGCTCAAGATTAATATTGGTTCAAGATCTCAATTTCATGATTTGTTAATGGTTGATTCAGGATAAGATTGGAAGATTCATGTAGTTCAAGTTGTCATCTTCAAGTTCACTTATTTCATCTCGCGTCATTCAAATCTAGGCATGACATATAAATGGATTCGGGCTTATCACAAGTTGGTTCAATAAATCCTTCAACTCAAAATGCGGTAAGCAATGAACAACTTTCCCAACTCATGGATCTATCAGCCTCTCTGGCTTATATCCTTGGATCAGGTCAGCAGCTGCGGCAACTATACGCTGCCTTAAATTCTCACAATTTAAATGATAGTCCTTCCCAACCAAATACTCAAGTGCTTGCAATGCCTCTTTCAATCACATGCATAAAGCCAGATCCTGCCGTTGGGCTCTCAAAGCAGCATGATCCAATGAATGGTAGTAATGAGCAAAAGAATGCTGATGGAAGTGGAGTGGCCCCAACCATTCCTCCAAGTAAAAATATCGCCAAAGTAGAAATTCTGCCACAGTTGTCTAATTTAGGAAAACAAATTTATGGTGATTCTATTAAGGGTGCCTCCTCAGAACTTATCATGAGTGACAATCTAATTCATTTTCAGCCTGGTCATAACAAAGTGGTTTATAACAATGAAGAGGTAGCTAAGGAAAGGAAGAATTCTCAAGATGATATTAAAAGTAAAAAAGAGAATGGTCCACAAAACATGGACCAAGATGGTAAATCTGATGATTCCAAACAAACAGAGGATACGAAAGGGATTTGTGCATTTAAATTTGCACTGGCTGAGTTTGTTATTGAAATTCTGGCAGCAGATACTCAATGTCACAGTGAATGTTATGACACCATATCTGACTTTCTATAAGACAGTAAATAAAAACAGTAAAGAACACAGTCAATTGTTTACCCAGTTCAGTGTGAAACAACACCTACTCTGGGGGCTACCAAGCCAGGGAGGAAATCCACTATAAGAGATATTAATTCAAGAATAAACCAACCAGTTTATCTCCTTCACTTAAGACCTACCCAATGCAACTTCAATCCAAGTTCAACTTAAACCTGAGTTCCTACTCACTCCCCCTCAATCACAGCAGTGATACTTAAACAATTTACTAATGAAATAATGAAGAAACTCTTCAGAACATACACTTGATTATGCTTCACAGCTTTTTAATCAAGTAACACAAACGCTCGTGCTTCACAACTTTGAGTGATACATAAACCTAACTTAACTTTGCTTCAAAGCTTTAGTCAAGAGACACAAACACTCTTGCTTCAAAGATTTTAGTGATACAAAAACCCTTACAATCAAAACCTATTCCAAGTCACTTATCACAATGATACTTGCTTGTATTACAGCAGTTAAAACTATACAACTCCTAATTGATCTTCTGTCAAAAGAGTTAATTTCCAATCAGCTTTCCTGTTGAATATATATGCAGCTGTTTCTTCAGTTAGGGCTTCCACGAAAAGCTAGGGTTAATTAGGGTTAACCTCAAGACTTGGTCACAAGACTTTATCAACCAGATTAGGGTTGAGCTAGGTTAACTTAAAGACCACATGAGATTCTGTTCTGGAAGGAATGAACCAACTTCCTGAAAAATCTCAGAATTAACCAAACTGCATAACTGTTAGATCAGTACAGGATGTCTTAACATTTGTTATGACATCAGAATTCCTGTTTACTGATTTTGGTAGAAAGTAATAAATGTGATCATTGCAAAATGCTCAGATACACACTCATAAACAGCAGCTACTGTATGCCATACTTTTTCTGCATAAAGTACCTAATAATCCAGAATGTTATGACATCAGTCATGACATTCACACACCTGGTTTTACCAAAAATACATGCCAATAAATAAACACTTACAAACTCCCCCTTTGGCATATTTTTGGCTAAAACCCCTAAGCAATCAGAGAATAGAGAGCAACAGAATGAATATGACTGCAGAAAAATATAATGTCTACCAAGTAATTAACACAAAATATCTCCCCCTCTTTAGCCACAAATAGGCCAAAGATACATGTACTTATATGTTACACAGTTATCCAAAATGAGTAATAAAAACAAAGAAAATCTGAAATCACTTGCATCAACAGGAACCAGCATCAAGCTTGTCAACTCCACCAAACTTTAAGCACTGTCATCTTCAGAGGAGGAACTTTCTTCAGCATTGAGCTGATCTTCAGCAACATCCTCTTCCCTTCCTTTTCCTTCAGTCTCCTCCTGTTCTAATCTGGCAATTAGGTTCTCAAGAGTCTTTTTCCTTGTCTCCAGCTCTTTGCAGGTTTCCTTCAGCACAACTATAACATCAGATGTCTTGGACTGAGTTTTTACAGTTGATGTCTCAGCTGATGTCATGAAAATGTCAGGAACATGAGATCCCTGGAATAGCTTGTAGTGTAACACAAGAGTAGGAGCTCTTTTGCAAGCAATATCTCTTTCCACCAGGATGTCAGGGTACTGAGCAAGGACAATTCCACATAGGAGGGAAGGAAAGGCAATAGGGCCTTTAACAGCATAGCTTCCAGCATGTTTTAAAGTTTGATCAAATATATACCTGCCATAGTCAAATTTAGTCCTGGTTCCAACAGCATAAATGAATCTCCCCAATCCTGTAGAGATGGTTGATTTATGGTTGGTAGGGACCCAGTTGGCTGCACCAATCTTGTGCAGGATGGCAAATTTTATGCTTAGCTTGCTAGCATTCAGCTTGCCTTTTAAGGGCCAGCACTTGACTTGTCTTGCTGTGATGGTTTGGCATACTTCATTGTCAGTAACTTCTAGTTCTGGGCAAGCCTCATTTGATCTTCCAAGAAATTTGTTAATTTCAGAGGGAGAGAAATTAACTTTTCTTCCTCTCACATAGATACATTCAAAGTCAGCTGACCTTCCATCAGCACATTCATCAGACAAATTCACTATGAATTCCTTGACAAGATTTTCATAGCATTTGGTAAACTTTTCCACAGTCTTCATTAGTCCAGCAGCTTTGATTAGGTCCATGATTTCCTTACAATCCATGGCACCATTATTTAGTTCTCTTTCCAAGGCTATTCTCTTCAAGCAAACATACTTCCATCTGTTGGCATTTTCAGGGTGGTGAAATGAAATGTTGTCAGTGGGAAATTCAGGAACTCTAGCCATTTTGCTGGAAGGGAGTTTACTTCTGAGAGGAATGTCTTCAGCATCAATTTCAAATTCTGATTCCTCATCAGAATCAGAAGGTTCAGGCTCATTTCCTCTTCTTTGCTATTGGTTGTCTCACAGGCTTTGAGAGACTCCCAGCATGTACTCGGGCTTTCACCTTCCCCTTGGACAGTCCAGTCTTCACAGTTTCCACACCAGTCTTGCCTTCAGACTTGGTTTTCTTATCAGCAGGTTTCTCTTTGGTCAGACATTTTGCAGCATCCTGATTACCCTTTCTGTTCATCATTCTCCTAGCTATGCTAGGGTTGATGTTTGCTATTAGGTCATTATCTGAGTATTCCTCATCCACATCAATAACAGGTGGTTCAACATTCTTCTCTGAAGGGTTATGAATATCATCAAGGTTTTTAGATGATTTCTGAATGTTGTCATTTGGAGTCTCAGCATTCTCAGAGACATCTGGATTTACTTCAACATTTGGGCTTGCTGATTCTTGATTTAATGGAACAGAAATCCCAGGTACAGAGTGGTTCTCACTCAAAATTCTTGTAACAAGCCTAGCAATTGCTTGATGAACATAAGCTGAGCCTTCCTTATTTGGTACAGAAGATGAAGGTTGAGAGGGATCACCGGATGAAGTAGCTTGAGACCTTCCTGCATGCCTTGTTCTCAGCTTTTTGACCTTGGAGGGGTTAATTGCCATTTCTCTAAGAGGAGTAATCTCCAGGACTTCAGAATCCATGCATGATGTGATTGCCCGAGAATCTCGATCAGAGGATGAGGATGAAACGATCGTCTTGGGTGAGGATGATGTTTGAGACATTTTGATAGACTTAGAAAACCAGTACCAACTAGAGAGAAAACTTTGATTGAGAGAATGGGATTTGTTGCAGAGTCGAGAGAGGAAGGAGGCAAATGAGTGTCTATTCAACTTCTTAATAATTTTGAAAGAAATGTGAAAACATATGATTAAACCAATCAAAATAGACTTAACAAAAATAACTCCTTCAACCCTTGTTTTAAGCAAAATTAATTGCTACAATTCCTGATGTTGGCAAATACCCAACTTGCCCCTCAAGTTTTCAAATTGATTTGCATCAAGTGCCTTGGTAAAAATGTCAGCCAGCTGTAGCTCAGTGGCAACATGTTCCAGTTTAATTGTCTTCTCCTCTACAAGGTCTCTGATAAAGTGATGTCTAATGTCAATGTGCTTGGTCCTGCTATGCTGAATAGGGTTCTTGGAAATGTTGATTGTACTCAGATTGTCACAGTACAATGTCATAACATCTTGTGTGACATTATACTCAGTGAGCATCTGTTTCATCCAGATCATTTGAGAACAGCTACTACCAGCTGCAATGTATTCATCTTCAGCAGTAGAGAGAGACACACAGTTCTGTTTCTTGCTGAACCAGGAGACCAGATTATTTCCTAAGAAGAAACATCCTCCAGAGGTGCTTTTTCTATCATCAGCACTTCCAGCCCAGTCAGCATCACAATAACCAGTCAGAGTTGGTTCACAACCATGAGAGTATAGCAAGCCATAGTTGTAATTTCCACTTACATACTTCAAAATTCTCTTCACTTGGTTGATATGACTGACTTTAGGATCAGCTTGGTATCTTGCACAAACTCCAACTGCAAAAGCAATGTCAGGTCTGCTGGCTGTTAAGTACAGCAAACTTCCTATCATGCTTCTGTATAGACTTTGGTCCACCTTAACCCCACTTGAATCTTTGGATAGCTTTAAATGAGTAGGTGAAGGGGTCCTTTTGTGACTGGCATTCTCCATACCAAACTTCTTGAAAATGTTCTTTGCATACTTGCTTTGAGATATAAAGATTGAGTCCTCCATCTGTGAGACTTGCAGTCCAAGAAAATAAGTCAGTTCTCCTATGAGACTCATTTCGAATTCAGCTTGGATCTGGTCAACAAAATGTTTAACCATTTGTTCTGACATTCCCCCAAACACTATGTCATCAACATATATTTAAGCTACCATTAACTTCCCTCCTTCATTTTTGACAAAGAGGGTTTTATCCAAGCCTCCTTTTCTGTATCCTTTGTCTGAGAGAAATTTTGTTAACCTGTCATACCATGCTCTAGGAGCTTGTTTCAGGCCATATAGAGCTTTCCTCAATTTGTAGACATGATCAGGGTGGTTTGGATCCACAAAACCTTTAGGCTGTTCCACATAAACTTCCTCATTTAAGTACCCATTTAGGAAGGCACTTTTTACATCCATCTGAAATAACTTGAACTTCAGGAGACAAGCAATTCCCAATAGGAGTCTGATAGATTCCAGTCTGGCTACAGGGGCAAAGGTCTCATCAAAATCAACCCCTTTAACTTGAGTGTATCCTCGGGCAACAAGTCTTGCCTTATTCCTAGTGACCACTCCTTCAGCATCTGATTTGTTCTTGTATATCCATTTTGTGCCAATGATGTTGGTTCCCTCTGGTCTAGGAACTAATTCCCAAACTTCATGTTGCTTAAATTGGTTCAATTCATCTTGCATTGCACCAATCCAGTATTCATCAGTTAAAGCCTCCTTAACATTTCTTGGTTCAATTTTAGACACAAAGCAAGAGTTTGAGATGATTTCTCTAGATCTTGTAATGACTCCACTATTAGGATCCCCTATGATGAGTTCTTTAGGATGATCTTTCTGAATTCTGATGGAAGGGATTTTGCTAGCTTCCTTGGAATCA